ATGTTGTTTAGCCATGCATTTCTTTGAGAATTACAGTCATCAGTCTGTATCCACAGGGAAATGGTTCCATGGCCCCGGATGATACCAAAATTCTCAGATGCTCAAGTCGTTTATATAAAAAAAAGATAGTATTTACATATAACCTACCCACATTCTCTCATATACTTTAAATCACCTCTAGATTACTTACAACACCCTACAATGTAAACTCTATGTAAATGGTTATACTGTATTTTAAAATGTGTACTTTTTTTTTTCTCTGAATGTTTTAGAACTGCAGATGGTTGAATCCACAGATATGAAACCTGTGGATACAAGGGGCCAACTGTATTTGTTTTCCTACTGGTTTCTATATAAATAAATCACTTAGTTTACTTGTTACATTTACTTTTTTACTGAATTGTTTTGGCACTGCTTTTTTTTTTTTTTTTTTTTTTGAGACGGGAGTTTCACTCGTTACCCAGGCTGGAGTGCAATGGCATGATCTCGGCTCACCGCAACCTCCGCCTCCTGGGTTCAGGCAATTCTCCTGCCTCAACCTCCTGAGTAGCTGGGATTACAGGCACACGCCACCATGCCCAGCTAATGTTTTGTATTTTTAGTAGAGACGGGGTTTCACCATGTTGACCAGGATGGTCTCGATCTCTTGACCTCGTGATCCACCCGCCTCGGCCTCCCAAAGTGCTGGGATTATAGGCTTGAGCCACCGCGCCCGGCACTGCTTGTTTTCTTGACTCCTTATAGTAAAATCTAATAAATGCTAAAATCCCTGTGTGATTCCTTTTGGTAACTCAAAACTCCTTTTCCTTCCAACGATCAGATATTCATTAATGCTGCCCACTGGCCCCCGGTTTTTTCCCTGTTATAGCCCTTTCATGCTTTTGCACTTAGCTTAATTTTTTTATGCATACTGGATTGTTTACTGTTTTTAACCCACATCAAAACTGATATGGCTGTGTCCCCATCCAAATTTCATCTCAAATGGTAGGACACGTGTCAAGGGAGGGACCCAGTGGGAGGTGACTGGATTGCAGGGAGGTTTTCCCTATGCTGTTTTCATGATAGTGAGTTCTCACAAGATATGATGGTTTAAAAGTGGCACTTCCCCTTCACTCTTTGTCCTGCTGCCATGTAAGACATGCCTCACTTCCTTCGCCTTCTATCATGATTTTAAGTTTCCTGAGGTCTCCCAAGTCATTGAGTCAATTAAACCTTTTTACTTCATAAATTACCCAGTCTCAGGTAGTTCTTCATAGTAGTGTGAAAAGAAACTAATACAAACATACAGGATAATTAATGTTAGCAAGCCAGACTTTAGTAGATTCTATTACATAATAGTACTAGAATTTAGACAATTTCTATACCAAATTTAATGATGAATAAAAGTTCAAAATTTATAGAATTTTAATGTCACATTGAAATTCTTTGTTAAATAACAAGTTCTCTACTTCCCTATCAGACATGTACTACTTTTTCATATTTTTATACCTAAATAATTCATGTATTAAAGGCCTTAAAAATGTTATATATCCAATCATGTCAGCTGCAAACAGAGAAAATTTGACTTCCACTCTTCTTATCTGAAAACCCCTTATTTCTTTCTCTTGCCTGATTGTCCTAGCCAGAACTTCCAACACTATGTGGAATAGAAGTAGTGAGAGAGGGCATCTTTGTCTTGTGCCAGTTTTCAAAGGGACTGTTCCAGGTTTTGCCATTCAGTATACTGGCTGTGGATTTGTCATAAATAGCTCTTATTATTGAGATACATTCCACCAATACCTAGTTTATTAAGAGTTTTTAGCATAAAGGGGTGTTGAATTTTATCAAAGGCCATTTCTGTATCTATTGAGATAATCATGTGTTTTTTGTCATTGGTTCTGTTTATGTAACGGATTATGTTTATTGATTTGCATATGCTGAACCAGTCTTGCACATCTCAGGGATGTAGCCGACTGATCACAGTAGAAAAGCTTTTTGATGTGCTGCTGGATTCAGTTTGCCAGTATTTTATTGAGAATTTTCGCATCAATGTTCATCAGAGATACTGGCCTGACATTTTCTTTTTTAGTTGTGTCTCTGCCAGGTTTTGGTATCAGGATGATGCTGGCCTCCTAAAATGAGTTAGGGAGGAGTCTCTCTTTTTCTATTATTTGGAACAGTCTCAGAGGGAATAGTACCAGCTCCTCTTTGTACCTCTGGTAGAATCTGGCTGTGATTTCATCTGGTCCTGGGCTTTTTTTGATTGATAGGCTATTAATTACTGCCTCAATTTCAGAAACTGTTAGTGGTCTATTCAGGGATTTGACTTCTTCCTGGTTTAGTCTTGGGATGGTATATGTGTCCAAAGATTTAAGGCTATTAATTACTGCCTCAATTTCAGAAACTGTTAGTGGTCTATTCAGGGACTTGATTTCTTCCTGGTTTAGTCTTGGGATGGTATATGTGTCCAACGATTTATCACTTTCTTCTGGATTTTCTACGTTATTTGTGTAGAGGTGTTTATAGTATTCTCTGATGGTAGTTTGTATTTCTGTGGGATCGGTGATGATATCCCCTTTATCATTTTTTGTGTTTATTTGATTCTTCTGTCTTTTTTTCTTTATTAGTCTGGCTGGCTAGCAGTTTATCTATTTTGTTAATCTTTTCAAAAATCCAGCTCCTGGATTCACTGATTTTTTTGAAGGGTTTTTCTTGCCTATATCTCTCTCATTTCTGCTTTAATCTTAGTTATTTCCTATCTTCTGTTAGCTTGTGAATTTGTTTGCTCTTGCTTCTCTAGTTCTTTTAATTGTGATATTAGGGTGTCAATTTTAGATCTTTCCTACTTTCTCCTGTGGGCATTTAGTGCTATCAATTTCCCTCTAAACACTGCTTTGGCTGTGACCCAAAGATTCTGGTACACTGTGTCTTTGTTCTCACTGGTTTCAAAATACTTATTTATTTCTGACTTAGTTTCATTATTACCCAGTAGTTTTTCAGAAGCAGGTTGTTCAGTTTCCATGCAGTTGTGCAGTTTTGAGTGAGTTTCTGAATCCTGAGTTCTAATTTGATTACACTGCGGTTTGAGAGACTATTATGATTTCTGTTCTTTTGCATTTGCTGAGGAGTGTTTTATTTCCAATTAAGTGATCAAGTTTAGAATAAGAGCAATGTGGTGCTGAGAAGAATGTATATTCTGTTGATTTGGGGTGGAGATCTCTGTAGATGTCTGTTTGGTCCGCCTGTACCAGAGCTGAGTTCAAGTCATAAACATCCTTGTTAATTTTCTGTCTTGTTGATCTAATATTGACAGTGGGGTGTTACAGTTTCCCACTATTATTGTGTGGGAGTTTAAGTCTCTATGTAGGTCTCTAAGAACTTGCTTTATGAATCTGGGTGCCCCTGTATTGGATGCATATATATTTAGGATAGTTAGCTCTTCTTGTTGCACTGATCTCTTTACCATTATGTAATGCCCTTGTCTTTTTTGGTTCTTTGTTGGTTTAAAATCTGTTTTATCAGAGACGAGAATTGCAACCCTTGCTTTTTCTTGCTTTCCATTTGCCTGGAAATATTCCTTGCTTACCACGCAAATGGAAAGCAAGAAAACGCATGTGTTGCAATTTTAGTCTCTGATAAAACAGATTTTATCCTTTTGAGTCTATGTGTGTCTTTGCATGTGAGACAGGTCTCCTTAGAAATCCCCATCGCCTCAGCCCAAAATCTCCTTAAGCTGATAAGCAACTTCAGCAAAGTCTCAGGATACAAAATCGATGTGCAAAAATCATTAAGTATTCCTACATAACAATAATAAACAATCAGAGAGCCAAATCATGAGGGAATTCTCATTCAGAGTTGCTACAAAGAGAATGGAATACAACTTACACGGGTTGTGAAGGACATCTTCAAGGAGAACTACAAACCACTGCTCAAGAAAATAAGAGAAGACACAAACAAATGGAAAAACATTCCATGCTCATGGATAGGAAGAATCAATATTGGGAAAATAGCCATACTGCCCAAAGTAATTTATAGAGTCAATGTTATCCCCATCAAGCTACCATTGACTTTCTTCACAGAATTACAAAAAAACTACTTTAAATTTCATGGAACCATAAAAGAGCCCGTATAGCCAAGACAATCCTAAGCAAAAAGAACAAAGCTGGAGGCATCACACTACCTGACTTCAAACTATACTACAAGGCTACAATAACCAAAACAGGATGACACTGGTAACAAAACAGAGATATTGACCAATGGAACACAAGAGAGGCCTCAGAAATAACGCCACTCATCTACAACCATCTGATCTTTGACAAACCTGACAAAAACAAGCAATGGGGAAAGGAACGGTATGGGGGAAACTGGCTAGCCATATGCAGAAAACTGAAACTGGGCTCATTTCTTACACCTTACACAAAAATGAATTCAAGATGGATTAAAGACTTCAATGTAAAACCTAAAACCATAAAAACTCTAGAAGAAAACCTAGGCAATACCATTCAAGACATAGGCATGGGCAAAGACTTCATTACTAAAACACCAAAAGCAATAGCAACAAAAGCCAAAATTGACAAATGGGATCTAACTAGCTAAAAAGCTTCTGCACAGCAAAAGAAACTATCATCAGAGTGAATAGGCAACCTACAGAATGGGAAAAAAATTTTGCAATCTATCCATCTGACAAAGGGCTAATATCCAAAATCTACAAAGAACGTAAACACAGTTACAAGAAAAAACAACCCCAACAAAAAGTGGGCAAAGGATATGAACAAACACTTCTCAAAAGAAGACATGCATGCGGCCAACAAACATGAAAAAAGCTCGTCATCACTGGTCATTAGAGAATGCAAATCAAAACCACAATGAGATACCATCTCAAGCCAGTTAGAATGGTGATCATTAGAAAGTCAGGAAACAACAGATGCTAGAGACAATGTGGAGAAATAGGAATGCGTTTACACTGTTGGTGGGAGTGTAAACTGTGGAAGACAGAGTGGACATTCCTCAAGGATCTAGAAATAGAAATACCATTTGACCCAGCAATCCCATTACTGGGTATGTACCGAAAGGATTATAAATAATTCTACCGTAAAGACACATGAAAACGTATGTTTATTACAGCACTATTCACAATAGCAAAGACTTGGAACCAACCCAAATGCCCATCAATGATAGAGTAGATGAAGAAAATGTGGCACATATATAGCATGGAATATTATGCAGCCATTAAAAAGGATAAGTTAATGTCCTTTGCAGGGACATAAGGACATGGATGAAGGTGGAAACCATCATTCTCAGCAAATTAACACAGAAACAGAAAACCAAACACTGAATATTCTCACTCATAAGTGGGAGCTGAACAATGAGAACACATGGACACAGGGAGGGGAACATCACATACTGGGGCCTGTCGGTGGGTTGGGGAGTAGGGGAGGGATAGGATAAGGAGAAACATCTAATGTAGATGATGGTTTAATAGGTGCAACAAACCACCATGGCACGTTTATGCCAATATAACAAACCTGCAAATTCTGCACATATATCCCAGAACTTAAAGTATAATAAAATGTGTGTGTGTGTGTGTGTGTGTGTGTGTGTGTGTGTGTGTGTAGTTACATATCCTTTCTAAAATGTTACATTTTTATTATTTGAAGAAAATTCTGACCTAGTTCACAGATAATGGCAATGCATGCTCGGACCATTCTGTCTCTTTCTTGAAGTCCATCATTTCCAACTGCAATTAAGGAGTTGGTTACAGAACTAGGAAACAAGGAAGCATTCACAGTAATCATCTGTAACAGAAGGAATCAGAAAAAGAAGTTACTTTAGTAACACATTTCTTAAACCTATTTTGTTCAGACTGAGGTAGTTAATAACACAGAATAAGATCTAGGCACCAATTTTAATCTTGTGCTTCTTCTGGATATTTCAAAAGATTAATACAACTAACAACTGACATAACAAATGTTAATAGCTGTTACTACGGAAAATGTGTTAAATTTTTTTCTAGCAGTACAGACTATAAATTCGTTAACCAAATGTTCTAAGATTTTAAATTACTGTAGAATAGGGACTAAATCTTAAACAGTTTTTCAGTCTCTAGGTAAGGTAAACCAGGGGTGACGACAGTAGTCAATAAACTACCGTACTATTACAATCCTATTTCTCCATATACCATCATCACCAAATCCTACCAATTTACTTCAATAACATCTTTATCTCTACTCCCCTATCCTCATCAAATTAATTGTTTTGACTTGGGCCCTCACTCTCACTCTGACTACTGCAACAGATATCTAATGATCTCCTTCCTCTCTAGTTACTTTCCCCATGTTGCCATTCCAGAAAGCAGAGTTCATAATCCAAATCTATTTTTAATATTTAAAAAATCCTGATGGAAATCTTATGTAATAAAATTGTATATGAATCTCACATTAAATGAAAGGTCTGTCAATAACATATTTGGAATACTGAAAATCGGTAACATATGTCTTTGATTTGGAAAACAGAAAGAAAATTACATAGTTAATTATTGTTTCATAAATAAAGACTCTTTTGCAAACTAAGAATTTCAACATAGCAGGCTCCTGGAATGGAAATAAAAATATTTTGTTTGTGTGGTAATAAAATATTAGAGAAAATTAATCTGATCCAGATGGCACTGGATTTATTGTCCTGTTGAAAAAACAAAACTTGTGAGATAAAACAATTAGAGGATGCAATATAACTAAATGAAAGATATACAGTTAAGTCTTACACAGGATCAAAAGAAAGATCTGTTTAAGTAGCTATAAACGATTTATGTCATTTAAGCATCAATAAGAAACATTACAAAGTTCACCTGAAATTATAGAATACCATTCTACAACCATAAAACAAATACATTTCCAATAACCGTTGAATCTACAAAAGCGTTCACATTCATTTCTAAGTCAGTTTTTTTTTTCAATTAATTGAAAAAGAAGAAGAAAGGGAGAAGCAAGGAGGTATAGGAAATTTATCTTTCTGGGTGAAAGAATTCTGACATCTTATGACATTAGCTTTCTTAATACTTTTTGATTTATTATTATTCTAAGGAGCTTACAAGAAAATTTCTCCAAGCAGCAAAACGCATGTAATATATTCTGTAAAGAGCTGGCTAAAAAAACAGGCAAAATGGTTTTTAGAATTAAGTCAACTATTAATAAACTATGTTACCTTGACTAAACCAATCCTCTGTGCCTCAGTTTCCTCATTTGTAAAATGAAGACATGTATGAACAGATGATTTCCAGAGTTTCAAGTATAAAATTCTAGATGTGTCTACTAAACATATACTTACTTAACAGATTGTGCTATGAAAGAGATACATAAAATTTTTACAAATAAAACCACTCTTATTTCCAGGGAAATACATGCAAAGAAACTCTTAAGTTGTGTGTAAATCACAGAATGCTTTCCTCATAAATCAATGAATGCTCCATAATGGAGAGGCCATAGAATGCTGTCACTGTTAAAACTGCAAAATTCAGTAATCTTTCTGGCATGACAGGACAGACATATAAAACAAATTAAAGATCATGACTAGGTAATAAATTTGTGGAACTGACACAAAGGCATTAGAGAAGCACTGAGTTATCTAAGGGGAATATCTAATATTTGAGCTGAGACTAGAAGACTGACGTAAGGTGAGAAGGGCTGGAAATGAAGAGTAGGAAGAAGTAACAATTGTGGTGGCAATGGTGGGTAGTTTGTCTACACATGGTGGCATAAGACATGACAGACAGAAATGGTTGGTTGGACCAAAACTGGGCTCTGAAGGCCAAAGTAGGCAAGTTGTACTTAAAACTCATGGGTCAATGTAGGTCTGGAAATCTCAGAGAAGAAGGCTCTTGCTCTGGCTTTGCCACTATTTTGCTATGTATCAAGGGCATGTGATTCCACCCAATGAATCTCTTTCAAATGTAAAATGTTTGTGGAATTAATTCCTTATTACATGAATAAAAAAATTATATATGAAGAAAATGACAGCTCAAATTAAGTGGGTAACAGGTAGAATTTAAATAAGATTAGGAAAAGAATAGTAACAACTAACTAGTAGAAAAATTACACTAAAAATGAGAGAGATAAAGCCAGGGAAGAGCTGCCTGCATCGGAATGGGGAGACAGAAAAAATTAAAAACATGGAAAAGAAAACAGCAAAAAGACAGAAAATTTCCAAATGAATGAGATGGGTAAAATAAGAGAAAAAGTAACATAAGAATTCCTTAATTATAGTGTAAGTTATCCTAAAGCAAAAAATGTTTTTCCTTATCCTTTAAGATATAGTAGACTAATACTTTTACTACAAATTTTAAGACTTTTTGGAATGCATACAAAAAAAAACTTCAGTGATATAGTAATTATAGTATTAAACATTAATTTCTACTGCAGGTTGAGCATCCCTAATCTGAAAATCCAAAATGCTCCAAAATCAAAAACTTTTTGAACAACTGACATGATGCCAGAAGTAGGAAATTCAGCATCTGATAGCTTTGCTTTCTGATGATTCAATGTATATAAACTTTGTTTCATTCACAAAAGTCTTAAAAGTATTATATAAAATTACCTTCAAGATATGTGTACAAGGTGTATATGAAACATAAATAAATTCTGTGTTTAGATTTAGGTCTCATTCACCTGATCTTATTGTGTATATAAAAATATTCCAAAACTCCAAAAAAATCCAAAATGGGAAATACTTCAGGTCCCAAGCACTTTGGATAAGAAATACTCAACCTGTCATTCAGTTGCCACGATTTTAGTTAAAAAAAAAAAATTAGTTAAAAAAAAAAAAAAAAAAAAAAAAAAAAAGCGTGCTTCAGATACTAAAAGTACTAATGAAATTACAGTTTCTCTGGCCGATAGAGGCCACTGTTCGTTCAGCAAATGTGCTCTCACTCTAACCTTTTTAGCTTAAACCAAGAAAAGGCCCTGTGCCACAATTCTTCCTCTGATTCTATACCCCACTACCAAATACCAGCGATTTTCCTCTTCGACGATTCACAAATGTATGTGAGTCAACTACTCTGCATCTAAGAAGACAACCAAATGAAATGATACTTTTGTTACGGTGCTATTAAATTATTTTTAAGCAATTAAAAACTGAGCTACTTTAAATTCAACTTTAACTTTTGCAAAAATGAAAAATTGAAGTAAAACAATTACTATAAAATCCCAAGTTGAATTTATTTGTCTGAATCCATTTGAAATTGTCTTTTCTTCCAACAGCAGTCTCTAGAGCAGTGATGCTCAAAATGTAGACCAGGAAATTCTGAGGGTCCTTAAGATATTTTCAGAGATTCTGCATAGCAATAAAAAGACATTATTTGTTCTTTTTACCTTTATTTTCTCACAAATGTGTATTAAAGTTTTCCAGGGACTCCACCACATGTGTAATCATAACAGACTGAATGCAGAAGCAAATATGATAATCCAGCTGACTTGTATATCAAAACAAAATTAAAGAGAGTTGCAAAACTCTGAAACAACAGCACTCTTCTCATTAATTTTATTTTTTGGAAAATACAGGCATTCCTAAGTGTCCATCAACCAATGAGTAGATAAAGAAAATGTGGTGTTATACACTATGGAATATTACTCAGCCATAAAAGCAATTGAAATAATGTTTTTTAAAGCAACTGGATGGAGCTGGCGGTCATTACTCTAAGTCAAGTTAACTCAGGAATGAAAAACCAAATATTTCACGTTCCTTTCTTATAAGTGGGAGCTAAACTATGAGGATGCCAAGGCATAAGAATGATATAACGAACTTTGGGGACTGGAGGTGGGGGAGTTTGGGAGGAGGTGAAGTATAAAAAGATTACATACAGGGTACAATGTACACTGCTTGGGTGATACGTACACAAAAATGTCAGAAATCACTACTACATAAGTTATCCATGTAACCAAAAACCACCTGCTCCCCAAAAACTATTGAAAAAAGAAAAAAAATACAGTTTTCATAAGAATGTTGTATTTAATGTTTATTAAACATATTAATATATATTTTCATTCCTAATATGATAAACACTGACAAATATAACCCAAATAATCAAAAAAATTGTTCTAGGTTCTTCAAAAACAAAT